CGCCCTCTCTGACGAGAGGACGGGTCTGTCTTTTTACATGCTACTGGGTCTTGCCAGCGTAGTCTTTCTCGGGTCTTGAGTCCTTGGGACTCGCGACCATATTTTACTGTCTCAGATTTGAGAATTCCATTTTCGTCGCCTCCTACGACTCGCAGGGTCACGGAGGTATTCGACTCCGCCTCCACACGGGTTTGAACTAGTCTCTTGTCGCAGTTGGGCTCTTATAACTTGCACACGGACTGAATAGAGCGCACCATGTCGAAGGGTTAACTCGCCCGCGGCTATCAAAACGTTGCTTCAACAATTCGTATGTAACGGTGGAAACTCCACTGTCGTGGGGACGTTGGTCGTTGTTTAGGAAATCAACCTCGTTGTCCTCAGTCATTCCGGCTTTCTGGCGGCACGCCGACCGTCTCTACACTGGGTTTCTTGGTTTCTCCCCGTCTTTAAGGAAATTCTGAGATTTTTCCCAAGTTCCTAGTGGCTACAGCCAGCTTCTCATGCAGCCCTCTGGACATAAATTCGTCTAAATGAACCTCCATTGCTGTTAAAGCCACGAAAGCTATTGTTTTTACTTTCTAAATTGTACGCCGACATTATCTCAGAAAATCAAAATCCCGCGGCCCCTGTCTCAAGCCACTGTTTCTAACTATCGTAACGTCTTCACTCTCGTGTTGTCCGGATCAGAGAGACGAGCGGCTGGCGCCTGGGAACAATCTAACAAAATGAAGCTCTCACTCCCTCTCCACAACAAAGGGTCTTTTAATTTCCCCATTATTTTTCACTTTATCAACAATTTTACTAAACACTCTCTCTACTGGAAGCAGCTAGACACTTAACGTGCTGCAGATACCTGCATTGACACTTGTCCTGTGTATATGTTGCATAAGAATCAAACATTGTGATAAAGTGACAGGGCGGTATGATGTCCATAAAGTACAAATGCCATTACCTGGACGCTTCGTGAGTGCGGGTACACTCATGCGAATTTACCGTGCAACAAATGCGGCGCCTACTCAGAAAGACCAGCCCCCCCCCCTCTTGTCGAAAAGGAGACCCCATTTCAAAACACATACATTTTCTTGGAACGAACAAGAATTAGTTCACGTGTTCCGACGGGGTCGGAATGACTGTGCTGGCGAGGACCAGCGGCAATTCCCTGGACTGAACTGGTGAGCAGATGATTAGTCCTTCACAGACTTCTTGTTTAATTAACCGTTTCGAATCCAGAATCCTATTTTAAGGACGATTGTTGTGTAAGCGTGATGCCTACAGCCTACTGCTACTGGATAGAACGAAACGAGACATTACGTCATTGTACGGCTGTGCAGGTGCAGGATGTCCTCCTGATGACGTGTTTATTCAGCTCTACTCCTGATAGCACCTCAACTCTCTGGAACTCTACTGACGGAACGTGCGCACACAGGCAAACACTTGTTGTGCAAACAGCACTGTTTCTCAAATAAATTAGTAAATAGCTAATGATGTGTTGTAGTGCAAGCTATGCACACCGCCCCTGAAACTCGTATCAACAATTTGAAGAATTGTGCTAACTATATACACCGCCTGTTTTTAGTGTTAAGGAGCTCTGAATTCTAAGCACTTAGGTAGCGTAGTTGGTTGAGGCACTATGCTACAAGCCGGAAGGTCGCGGGTTCAAGTCCCGATGTGGTCATTGGATTTTTTCAATTCACCTAATCCTTCGAGCCGCACTACTGCCCTGTGGTCGACTCAGCCTCTAAGAGAAATTAGTACCAGGAGTAGTCTTGGAATATTCTTGAGGGTAAAGGACGGCCGGCGCGTAGGGCTGACAGCCTTTCCGCCATCTGTGAGCCGATTGTCTAGAGAATGTGGGAACCTCAACATCTCACAACCCTATGGGCCTCCATGGCCTCTCACAGGGATGCCTTTACTTTTACTTTACCATTTTACTTTTAATATACTTATGTGTTTCATATGACTCCCACAATAAACAGTGATTTTTTACCAGACAGCATTAACCTGTTGGTCTAGGAAATGGAAAGGCTCTGTGTAAGTGTGTGTTTGACGTTTATAACCGTACGAGTGAACCTGGTCTCCTGCTAGGGCGGCGTTAGTTGAGGCGTGGAATGGTAAGGACAGGCAACTCGGCTGGTAAAGTTTTGCTCTGACTCGAATGTCGCATTAGCGGGGGAACAGACAGATCATGCACCATATGACAAGCGACAGCGCTTCACTTTCATGATAAATACGTATATTTATTTTGTCTCACCCGTTCGTACTCGTAACAGTTCGTTTCCTAATTCGCAGAAGCGTCGAGGCGTCATGATTTGCTCGATTTCTGCCTCGCGCAACTTTAGCCACTACTCGTATTAATTTGTTATAACGAAATCCCGAAGTCGCAAAACACGTCCGTTGACCCATGGAGTTGAAACAAGAAGATCCACCCTCCCCCGAAATGAATCTTACCAGCGACGCATCGCCTCCAAAGTTTACCGTCCGACCCTAACGCCAGTTCCTCATTGCCAGTTTGCTGGATTCGAACACAGTGCCTCAGCCCTACATCGAATGTAGGCATTCCTGTTGGTTAAAACCAAAGAACGTCGCTTCATCCTCTGTAATGCATTTCACATGGGGAAGCCACCAGCCCCAGGAACTACTCCAACCGGCTGGACGCCTCTCGAATTGATTTACGGTGGCACGAATTGCCCTGTGCTCAGATTTCCTGCTCCAAGCCACACAAAATATTCCAGGTTCCGCGACATTCTCGCTTACTTCAAGCACAATTAATAACAAAAAACTATATAGACAAACGATTAACGGTGCCTATAATTGTAGGCTGCCAGTCACGGTAGTCGAGCGGTCTAAGGCATGTACTGTCTTCGCTCGCTCGGAAGTCGGGATCTTGGGTTCGGATCTGTTTCCTGTGAGGTACGAACTGAATTCTTATATATTCTTATACACTGCCAGTCACGGTAGTCGAGCGGTCTAAGGCATGTACTGTCTTCGCTCGCTCGGAAGCTGGGATGATGGGTTCGAATCCCACACAAGACATGTTTGCTGTGTTTATGCCTTTATTCTGTGTTGTTTGTCCTGTGTTTATATAGAGGCCTTGCGACGAGCTGATCACCCGTCCAAGGAGTCCTACCATCTGCAAAAATGATAATGAAACTGAGAAATCAGTCCTGTGCTCCAAAGTGGGCGCGAGAGGAGAAAGAAAATAATTCTAGGCTGTTACATGTTCGAAATAGATTCTTCACCCTTTCCTTCTTGAGTATGATTTGTAGAAACCTTACGTGTCAGTGAGTTTGATGGAAACGTGTGATTCGTGTTGGAACTAACATTTTATTGGCCCAACACACACGTCGGTTTTGAATTAAGAACCAGTGTTTCAGAGATTTCTTCTGTCTCCATCGGCCGACAAGATTTTAGTACATTTATTCGCCTTGATTGCTCAAGTCTGAATGCGAACTGTGTTGCTAGAGAGCTATGAATACTTGGCTCTGTACAGCGATAAGTTTTGCGGGAATCTCAAGGAAATTCAGACCTCAGTGGCAGGTGTTTGGGAGGTACGTACGTACTGACTCCTTGTCTATGAGTCTTTGTCCCCTTTATAGGAGGTGCCCGTTCTTTTGTATTATTTTACTTTTGCTTCCATATCGCTCTCTTTCAGCTCTCGTAAATCATTCTCTTCAATTTCCAGCCTTCTTAAGGTTTCCCACTCTTGTGCTATTCCCCTGCATTCCCTTAGCTACCCTCTTTTGTTCCTCGAAACATCTTACAATACCCGGTAACAGGTCAGGGGTTTCTGTACAATTCCCTTAGTTCCTAACAAGTTCTGATTCTTCAGATATCTTCCACAGTTCCAGGCCCATATACATTCCTCAGAATTTTCCTCCACCATATATTTAACGTAAATTTAGTCTTTTCAGTCATTAACCATGTTTCACGCCCAAACGTCAAAACTGACTGTAACACTGGTTCGCACATTTTAATTTCTGACGTTCTGTTCGCTTGAGATTTGTCACTCTCGGTTAATGTAAGGGAAAGCTGTTACATACTGCTGCTACAGCTAATCCTGGATATACTCGTAAAGAATGCTACTAAAGCGTATGGGGGGCGTGTAGGGGTGAGTGGGCAGGTTCGTCCTGACGCAGAAAGAAGAGCGGTCCATACCGGTTCCGTATAGCTGAGTTGCGCCCATAGACACGGACGACGCTCTAAGGATGAAGACAAAGGTTCCCTTTTCCCCGGCAGGAACTGCATTTACCGTCTGAGCCATCCGTGCTCCTGTCACAAGTCTCGCTGTTCTTTGGCATGTTCACACACGGAGAGAGACGTCAGTGAAGAGACAGCTGACTGCATTCGAAAGGCGCGTGGTTCTAGTCTCGGCTGGGACACCTGCTATCTCGACACGACTTTCATAGCATTTCTCATATCTCCGGGCGAATGCTGGGATAGTACATATATTAGGCCTTTTAATTCCTTTTCACTTCATTATTCACCAGTCATTCTACAATTCGCGGCTGTATAATCCAGATAACAATGTTAAATCAGGTGGTACATATAGTTACCTCCTTGCTTTAAAAGGTTAGTCTGATAGATTGTTACCGGTAGCGGGTCTTTCCGCAACGTCGGCAACTATCTACCAGACTGCACGGAGTTACATCTTAGTCACCTTACTGGGAATCTCGCGTCTCACTACGTTGGTTAAATTTACTTCTTTAATGAGCATTAATTTCAGTTTTTGCTGTAAGTATAGGAGAGACAGGGAACAGGCCTTCTGTAATCTGGAAACTTGACTTCAAATGCATGTCTTCTTGTTGTATTTTGCTCAAAGCAGAGATTATATAAAAACTGATCCGTTAGTTAGTTCTCTTAACAGCTTTTGTGCAGGCCTTGAAATGAACCGAGCAGCGGCGAGTAAGGAAAAAAACGGCAGCCCAAATTAGGATCTAACTTGTGTAAGGCTGACCGGGTTTGCCTTCCGATTGACCGATGTACGTCCTTTATTTTTCTAGACTGCGGGCGGCGGAGCGGAGCGGTGGGAGGAGTCAGCGTTTCCCCTCCCTTCTCCACCAGCGAGTTTGTGCCATACCCACACTGCAGCTAGCCGAGTGTCTTCAGTTGTGCTCCGTGACCTGAGCTGAGATGGAAGGCAGGAGGACGAGAGGACAGTTTCACAAGAGTGTGTGACAATTGCTCGTGTGGCGACGTTTGGTTTCCGGCTGTGAAAAGTTCAGAGAGGATATTCTTTATTTAAATTACTGACAGCATACAGTAAGGAGAGGTGGAGTGGAACAAAAAAGTCGTTTGCATATTTCACTATGTGAATGGAAGAACTTGTTCTTCATTTGTTTAAATTATTTCAGTAAACAAGAGAAGTGAGGGACTTGTCCTAAACAAACACGTTCAACTTTCAGAGAGAGAAAAAAGAAATGCTTGTTCTGAAGTAAACTTGAGTTAGTAAAACAAAATCTCGGAGAACAAGCTCGCCTTGTGTCAACAGTGAGTTTCCAAACGAGAACAGTGATGCGACATTGTTTAAACATGACTAGTGCTGCCTCTACAGGATGACAATGTAACCACAATATGAGTGTCGAGGTGTAGGAAACAGACGCAACAATGTGCGAGCAACAGTTGGTGGTCGACGACGTCAGTAACAATCGACGACGCAACAAGGCGCACCAGCTTGTGATGCTCACGTCTTGGGGCAGCAGCGGTCAGTTTGCGGGCAGGACGTCTCCGTACAGGACACTGTGTCTCCTAACAGCGGGGCTGGCCTTTATCCTGGGACTGGTGGTTGGAGTCACAATCCCGCTCTACGTGCTTCCCCGTGGGCTCGCACGCCCCTCCGCCCTGCGGCATAATGTCGCCCTAAACGCGAGCAGTGTCAGTCCAACCAGGCTGCGAGGAACTAACGACACAGAGGCTGCCACTCACTTCCCGAGTGTCGCCTTTGTGGCCAGTTCTGCGGTGCCAGTCGCTGTCTTGAGGCCGGCCGTGCATGACACTGAAGATTTGATTGAAGGGGGAGTGTACTGGGGACGTCGGGTGGAGGACGCCATGCCGGTGGGGTTCGAGGAGTCTCAAGCCGAGGCTTGGCGTCGCTATGCGCGGAAGACGCCGGTCGTCAAAGTTGAGGAAGGGTGTGGTAGGATGCAGAACAGACTGGTGACGTTTGAGGACGGTACGCGCTCCTGCTGCAGGTACCGGCAAAACACGGACCAGATCCAGGGGGAGCTGTTCAGCTTCTACCTCGGACGACTGTTGGGTCTCAGGAACCTTGCGCCCTCATCCCTAGCTCTGGTCCGGCTCCGAGATCCCTTATGGTCGCGGGTTCGACCCCAGTTGTCGCTAGCGCAGTGGAGCGAAGAGCGAGCAGTTGTTCTCACGAGGTTCGTCCCATACCTAGAGCCAGCGCACATCCCTCCGTCTCTCCGAACCGCCGCCAGGCGGCTGCACCCTCCGGATGTCATGCTGAGCAAGGAGGAAGCCACGCCCGGTATGCTGACCGAGCTCGCTCAGTGGTCAGATCTCATTCTGTTCGACTACCTCACGGCAAATTTGGACCGGGTCGTCAATAACCTGTACAATTTGCAGTGGAATCCGGCCATGATGGACGCGCCTGCACATAACCTCGCGCGGGAGCCGAACTCCGGGCTCTTGATATTCTTCGACAACGAGAGCGGCCTGTTACACGGCTACAGGCTGCTCGGAAAGTACGAGGCGTACCACGGCGCCCTGCTGCAGTCCCTCTGCGTCTTCAGGCGGTCCACGGCAGACGTCATCAAGCGGCTTCACAGGAACAGGGACGTGGGCACGTTGCTGCAGGAGAGGTTCGACGCCTCGGACCCCGAATTCCGAGACTTCTTGCCCAGCCTTCCGGACAAAAGCATTAAGATTCTGAACGAGCGGATAGACAGGGTATATGAGCAGATCACGCACTGCGAGCGCCAGTATTCAGCGCGGAAACTTGCATGAGCAAGTAGTGAACCTGTTTGTGATGTTCTACACTAATTTATTGAGTTCCTCGTTTTGTGACGTGTTGCGCGAGTTGTCATGTGCTGCAATCTGGCGACGAAGTGCAGCAGTTCTAGTCATCTATAACCATTCTTTTTTGTGATTAATAACACATTTGGTGACCTTCTGAAGACTGTCCTGGAAAGTGTATTTATTGAAAAGTATTAATGTTATCATCGGAAAGGAACTTGAGTGTGCTGTGTTGGGGTCGTTGCTCTGATAGCAGAATCAGCTGGCGGTGTAGTTAAATGAAGAGAGCACCGTAGTGTTTGGTACAGGCAAACATGGCCATGTTTGAGGTTTGCACAAGTTCTGGGGACGGAAAATAGGAAATTCCAACAGTGTGTTTTTAAAAAAAAAAAAGTTTATTACGTACATATTGGTTAATATTCAGTTGTTAAAATATGTGAATAATTTTCACAAAAAAAATATACAAATTATGAGACTTAAATTTACAAGTGCCTTTGTACTTTCCTTTACGTTAAAGAAGGCGGTCGCCATGGATACGTGACCATTCGAATTTTATGCCGAAATTATAATTTAAATTAGTCTCATTCCTTCAGAACCGTTGTATTGCTTCATATTACAACAATTAGACATTGATTTCAGAGGCAGTGACATATAAAAGGTAAAGCTATCCCTGTGCTTAATTAATTAAGCACTACGCCATGAAGGCGTATGGGGGAGTGGATGTTTATATCCCCATTTTCTTGACCTCGGCACTAGCTTGAGGTGATTGGTCAGCTTCACACACCTGCCACTTTACTCCGTGGAAAGAGCCCCCGTAACCATTGGATAGGAGGTTAGGTAGACCCAAGAGACGGTCTCGATGACGTGGAGAAAATGCTTGACCCTACCGGGAATCGAATTCCGACCCCTCGGTCGTGCAGCCCATAGCCAGCCGCTATACTGACTACGCTGATAATGTTAACCATTCAGAGCACAGTGGTGAATATACATACCACTTCGTTCAGCAATGAGACACTTTGCATTCTGCCCAATTATGTCGTATGTTTTTGATGTGTTGTCACAAACACCCGTTTTCCTGAATCACCGTCAATCGGTTGGTTTTTTGTAACAGTCATGCAGTGTATTTTCTTTTGTGGCGTAGGAGTAGAATTTTTGGATATCTATGAATTTCGGGTTTAGAATGTTATTACGAAATTGTGCTTTTCTCCGTATGAGACTATTGTTCGTTCTCACATGGCCGAACGAATAGTCGTGGAGGACTAAATTTCTGTAGTAATTTGTTGTTTTAACATTTAAATTATCTTAGCCCCAGAATGAAACTGTAAGCATGAACCTAATTTGTATTTCAGAATAAGTGGCGCTAGGCATGTTCCCGTGCTCCAGCCGTAAGTCACTCTAAGCTGCCCCCCCCCCATCAAATCTGTGTTGTTTAAATTTACGAACATTTTACTGATTTATAAACATTACCCTATCTTATACGTTGTTAGTATATTGTGATCTTGAAACCGATCTCCAGGTTTTAACGGAGATTTTAGCGTTTTCTGCCCCCTCCCCCCTCCCGAATTATAAAATTGGATTTTTGAAAAGTCGCCGGTATGTAAGTTTTGTATAGCTGAATGGTGAGAAGGAATTTATTCATGCTCGGTACTTAAGAGTGTACCCGTTGCAGGTCGGTGTTGGGGGAATATGGACCCTTCACAGGGGCTCCCAAATACAAACTTGCATTTTCATCGAAACCGGCTGCATTGACTACGTGATGTGTTCAGACTCCTAATGAGTGTAGTGCGTGCGGTGCTGGCCCGAATTTAGTGCCAGTCTCAGTTCGACTTGAAATATTAACATGATAAATACATGTAAAAATGTAAAGCTAATCAGTTAATCGTTTATATGTATTTTTCTTTATTGCTAGTGGGGTGGGACTAAGTCCCTTGTACTGCGACCACTTCCGGCCTATTGTACCAGCCCCAGATGATAGGTGAGGGTGATTGTGGAGCAATTGGTGGAATGAAGATTGGCAGGGGAAACCGAAGTACTCGGAGAAACCCTTCCCCAGCGCCACTTTGTTCACCGCAAATCCCACTTGACCAGACCCGGAATCGAACCCAGGCCGCCGCGGTGGGAAGCCAGCGACTAACCTCTTGAGCTATGGCGAGCCAGTGTTTATATTTGTTAATAAAATAATGTATAGAGATACCATTCGACGAGGTGAATGTTTACAACGTTCCGGTTCCCGCGGCGTGACGTGACGCCGTGTCGGTTAATACCATGCAATAAAACACGGAGCAAGTATGTGCGGAGCAGTCGGACGCGGCCGGGCATCGCGTGCGGCCTCGCTCGGCCTGCAGGCCGGTCCCTGCAGCAGGCACTTCCCTGCGTTCTGACACGCCGCTCTAGAGAGGGAACCGCTTGCCGCTGTGTAGTTTGGTAAACTTCGGCTTATGATTTCACTAGTATGTTCGTATTTACAGAAAGTTTGGCGAATAAAAATTTACCGTAAAAGATTTGAGATTCTCACTGAGGGTAATATCGTGATATTCCATATGTGACGCCGTGCATTTTGACAGAGTTTCACTTATGATTTCAACAACGAATATCTTCATCTGTGCATCGTATCAACAGTTTGACGAGTAATTTTTTTTTATAAATTCTGACAGGACAATATTAAAGTATGATGTTGTGGTGTGTGATGCCGTGCAGTCTGACAGATGGTTACGAAAGTTTCCGGATAGCATGCAGCCTTTATCTCCTATAGTTAATTTTCATGGTAGGAACAAGTGTACCCGACGCCCGTCGTTAGAAATTCTCCGAAACAATTGAGTTCTACCCTGAAAATGGAGCAACAGATTCCTTCGAAATGTTGGTAGGCCTAACCGTTTGCCATACGACGGAAAGATTTACGACTGTGTATAGAAGCCAGACGTAAAGACTCCTAAGGCAAAATTTGTGCAATGTGAATGTTAAGCACGCCGTTACTAGTAAGGGAATTTGTCCCATTTTCTGTTTAGGACTACGGTGAGCCCAGATCAATTAATTCATAATATCGAAGACTTGTGAGCAATTTCTGCCGAATAAGGAAATTCTGATAATGATTCCAGTAAGGTGGCTGTACAGTATTACGGCAGATGTGAAGTAATATGCACAAGGCACGCAGGAACATTGCCTGTGAGGTGGTACGGAACCGCTTCAGGTGAGTTGGCGAATGCAGTCAGTCGTTTGACTTGTGTCACTGTAGATTTACGAAGTTACGAAAACTTCAGTTTTGGAAACTTTACACTGGCGCCTGTTACAACAGCAACTAAAACGTGACTCGCGTCAGCGAGGAAGAGTTCTCAGTCTCTGAGGCCGTCCGCGTGTAGCGATAAGAGCCGCGGTCAGCATTTCCGGTTGTGTCAGTACAGCCAGCTCTAAGTCACGCAGTTTTAAAGCACACCACAGCTCAGTGCGTTGGAGCTTCAAAACGCGTTTAACCTTTTGAAATCAAGAGAGTGGAAGAGAAAACAGGGCGAGACTTTACATTTCAAAGGAGGGGGGGGGGACAAAAATTCCGGCTCTCAATGTTCCCAGATATTGGTCACTTATCCTTCTGGAGAGTTGAAGAGGTAAAGCGTTGGGAAGTAAATAAAATAAAGCTTCGGAAAGTGGACTTTGTGAGTAAGGGAACAGAAGTGGCCGCGCCATAGCTCAAGCGGTTAGTCGCTGGCTTCCCATCGCGGCTGCCCGGGTCTGGTCAAGTGGGATTTGTGGTGGACAAAGTGGCGCTGGGGCAGGTTTTCTCCGAGTACTTCGGTTTCCCCTGCCAATCTTCATTCCAGCAATTGCTCTACAATGACCCTCACCTGTCATCTGGGGCTGGTACAATAGGCCAGAAGTGGCCGCAGTGGAAGGGACTTAGTCCCACCCCAGTATCAATAAAATAAAAAAGGGAACAGAAGCTTTCGATTGAGAAGGCGAACGCCGAATTTAGTTTTTGAATGACAAGCAGAAGGATACGATTCATGCTTAAAAATTCATTTCCTCCCTTACATTACACTCTGCTACAAGCCGGAAGGTCGCCGGTTCGATTCCCGATTATGGCGTTAGATTTTTCAATTTACCTAATCCTTCCAAATGCACTATGGCCCTGGGGTCAACTCATCCTATCAGAATTGAGTAGCAGGAATCTTCCTAGGGGTAAAGGGCGGCCGGTGCTTAAAGCTGACAACCTCACGGCCATCTGTGAACCGATTGTCTAGACAATATGGGAACCTCGACGTCTCAGGCCTCCAGGGCCTGTTACAGGGACAACTTTACCTTTTTACCATACATGAAGCATGTTGCATCTCCGTTACAAAGACCAACCCGTCGATGTCCTTCAATGAAATAGTTGCTGGGTTTTTTTGTTTGTTTGTTTGTTTTTTTGCGAAAATCATACGAAATACATGTACATTTATTTTACGCGCAGAATGTAGAATTTATTTAATGATAAAGCAAGTGGCACGTACAGTTTCCACTTTAATTTAAAGTGTCAAAGCTATTATGAAAACAAGATGAACACAGTAATGTTACTATAAAATCTCTTTTCATCTAAGCCCAAGCAGGTTGCAATCGAGCTGACGTAACTCACAAGTCTCTGAGTTGTTTCTTCGGATTAAGGACTGGACAGATATGCAAAGATCCACAGTTTCACCAACCGGATCCAACAAATTTGTGTGACTTAACAAAATTTGTACTTATCTGTAGAACATGATTCCTTTTAACTGCAACCATTTGTATTGCAGACAGAAGATATTGACCTGTGTTTGACGATTATCTCTACAGTTTTCTGCTGAAACAAGCAACAGGCAAATTCACCACCATTGGCTGAGTTTCATTATGGTACATGACGTTATGGGCCCGCAAAGCCTTGGGTTCACGGCCGGATGACGCCATGTGAAATGTGCTGTGAAGGAAATGACACGGAAGCAGGTTTCTCTTCCGGTTTCTCTGCCTTCCCCTTTTAATTGACATTCCACCATTTCTCTGTACTCACGTGGCGAACTAATTATAAAGGCCGTATGGACAACATCGCTTCTGGAGAAAAGAAAACGAGTTACCTGTTAGCAACGTCTGGGGCGCATTCTACTCTTACCTCCGTAACGCTTTCAGAATTCCTGCCTCACACTAGCTACATTTTACTTCCTTTTAAGTAATTTGACGATTTAAGTTCCCTTCTCTGCGAGGGCGCCCGTTAAATGCATACTTTGTGGATATTAGCGTGGCACATAAGTTCCATTCTCTGCCGATGGCGTCCGTTAAATGCATACTTTGCCGATATTAGCGTGCACTTAAGTTCCATTCTCTGCCGATGGCGTCCGTTAAATGCATACTTTGCCGATATTAGCGTGCACTTAAGTTCCATTCTCCGCCGAGGGCGCCCGTTAAATGCATACTTTGCGGATATTAGCGTGGCACTAAAGTTCCATTCTCTGCAGAGGCCGTCCGTTAAATGCATACTTCGCGGATATTAGCGTGACACTTAAGTTCCATTCTCTGCCGAGGGCGCCCGTTAAATGCATACTTTGCGGATATTAGCGTGGCACTTAAGTTCCCTCCTCTGCTGGGCGCGACCGTTAAATGCATACTTTACACTTTTGTTTAAATTGTAGTTGAAATCATTCCACTGAACTGGCTGTTCTAGAGATGATGATGTAGACTTGTG